TGGCCCACATGTTTAGCACAAAGGCAGACAGGTGCTGGAGGTGCAGGGTGGAGAGGGGCACCATGGTGTTATGCTAATTAATAAATGGAACGCAACTGCAGAAAAACTTTCAATTGCTTTTACTTTATTTTTTAACTGAATTGCAAAAGTTTATACTGTAGCTTTAAAACTTTAGCAAGTTGTTAGTTGAAGAAAGGAACAAGCCGCAGAGGTTTTGCAAAAAAGCCAAGCAGTCCTAAATAAGGATTAGTCCAAAATTAGTTTGCAGAATCAGAGTGAAATGAATTGTAGCAGAAAGAAAGTAGCTTCCTATGTGCAACAATGAGGCAGGTTATAATTGCAGGCAAACTGAAAGCCAAATTGAGCTGAAGAAATAAATACTTAGCGTTCTGTGGAAGTAGGTTCAGAAGTATTGTTGAATCCAAAATAAAGTAGTCCTTAGAATCAGAAGCAGAGGTCCATTTATCAATCCGAGGTCGAGGAGAGGAGAAGGTAGGTAAGTCGTTTTCAGTCCAGGGTTCAGTACACGAATAGAGGTTAGAGATAATTTGATAGCCGGTCAGAGGATCTCAGGGAAACCACACAATAATCCAGCATTTTGAATCTGGTGCGGTCTTCCTTTGTAGCGTGAGGAGACCGCGTCAGAGAAGGGGGAGGGGCAGAGCTCTGTTAACCCGGAAGTGGCCTGGAAGCGGCGAAACCGGCAGGTATAACCTGACACATGGACCACATTTGGTGGGAGTGTGAGGTTATCAGACCATACTGGGACATCGTGGCTGAGGTAATCTCTGGGGTGTTGGTCACACCAGTTAAGGCAATGGTCGAGTTCTTCCTGTTGTTTATGTTTCCAGCATTACCCACCAAAGGCCAGAGAATGCTCATATTCCAAGTATTAATAGCGGGCAACCTACTAATTGCTAGGGGATGGAAATCCTAGTTAGAACCAACACAATGGGACATGATATGTCAGGTGTCTTTAAATGGCAGGTATGAAAAGATGGCTTATCTGAGTTCAAACAGACACCACAAATCCATAGAAGCATGGGGTCAATGGGAAGCAAAGTTTGACAACTTCAGTGCCTGCGGTGATATTCACAGGTATAGGTTGTGGGGTCAAAGACTTATTTTTACAATAATATATTCATCAAAAAAAAAAAAAAAATAGACACCTCTAAGTATCTATGATTCTCCCCTCCCGTCAGACCAAAGGAGTTGAGTCAGGCTAGTCCCAGGACAAGGGGCTCAGTATCCTAGAACCACGCCCCCAGTTCTACTCAAACCCGTAGTCTTTTGGTGCCCACAGGGAGCAAGCTACACCTGCCCAACTTCAGTTGATAGAGGTTTATGGGTGAGCGAACAGGTGGGCCAGCTGCAATGTTGTTGGGTTTACTCACCCTCTATTCTCCTCTCTCCCCTCTCTTTATTCCTCTTTATTCCTCCTTTGCTATTTTTTCACTCTTTTCTTTCTCTATCATCTCTTGTCCTCTCATCTTCAGAGGAAATATCATAAATTTGATGTGTAGGCATTTCTTAAAACTAACCAGAGAAATGGAATATGGGACATGAAGTCGGCTAGTGACAGGAATACAGTGTAACCTTGAGTAGTATTCGTTGTGCGTGCTCAATCCTAACAATGTGAGATGTTGGTTACACAGGTGTGTCACCGCGGTGTAATGGTTTAGAAAAACGAAGTGGAAAATGTCCGTTGAGTGTCAAGGCAACACAAATGCACATCTAATAAAAGAAATAAAGAATCAAAAACCTCTGCAAGAAGCATATGGAGTCCATACAGTGCAGACTGTGTCCCCATTATGTGCTTACAAATATTGTTAGCTGTGCTTGAAACTGAAGAACTGAACTTCTGCATTCCCACTGTGTATCATTCCATATAGTTTTAAATGGCACAAAGATGGCAACTAATTATAACAATTATTTTTTTAAGAAGAATAAATATATATTGTCAGCAACACCCTAAAAACACTATTCCATAAAGTTAAATATTTTAAATTTGCTGAGAAAAAATACTTTTTCTTCTAAACTTTTTTTATATAATTATATCTACATATTATAGTGTGATCTTTGCATAATTCTTTCTTCTTTCTTTATTATTTAGAACAAAATACAATTCTGGAATGCAAGAAAAAAACAGCCATTGGCATTTGATTATCCACTGAATCTTCTAGTTTGCCAATTACTGTCACTGGTGTTGCTAAGTATTGACTGTGAGGAAGAAACTGATGCTGATGTCAGTGATTCTGTTTTTACTCTTGCTGCATGCTTTGTTATTGATGCCTCCCTAATGAAATCGTCTTGCAAAGCAAATTGTTTCTACATTTATTAACTGACTAACTTGGGGGAACTATGTATCATCAAAAACAATCAGAAATGCTCCAAACTATGCAGGCCATCAATTATAGACAGGCAATTGAAAAGGGATGTCAAGACGTTAAAGGGAAAATGAGACAAGAATTTGATTTTCTACATAACGCAAAAATGCGTATATATATCCTTAATTACTGATAAGTATTTATTTCTACATTAAATTAAATAAAAATAAAGTTTATATTTAGCTGACTCCTCTTTTTTTCATTTTTTGTTGTGGTGGGTTGGGGGTGAGTTGAAGGCTAGTCTCTTTGTGCATCCACAAGACTCTCTTTTTGTAAGATTGAAATATGGAATATAATGAACTATACTATACTTAACAACATTGTCTGACAGTTTTTCAAGAGCTAAGTATTTCTTCCATTCTATGTTTAGTTAAGCAGATGCCATTCCACATGTGCAGGTCTTTCAAGAAAATACAACCTACTCCAAGTAGTAGAGCCTGGCCAATAGGGACAGGTAGGATTGCAAAAAAACAAGTTTTAGTTGCAAAAAAAAAATAAGGTAAGGACTAATGATAAATGTGTTTTAGAAAAAAAAAACATGATGTCAGCCATTAACATAAAAGGTTTCCTACCTTTCCATTTTCTAACTGATTATAAAAAATATATTCCTGAGGGGCGGGCTTTTCTAGCTGTGCCAAGCTTTTGGAGCATTTGAGAATTTGGAACATGGACAACTTCAAAGTGCAACTTGGCAAATGGAAGTGATGAACAATAGTATTTGCTCTTTTTGCACTACGGGGAGATTTTGGTCTTACCATAATGTTTCTGGCACCAAGCTATAAACTCTCAAAGAGACTTCAACTTTCACACCAAAACCATCACTAATGCTAATGAGACTGCAAGTCTTGTGAGGTGTTCCCACTATGCAGTGGTTAGTATCTACTAAAAGTAATGCAAGGAAGGACAACCAGTGAACCAACGTCAGGTTCACTAATGCAAGTAGGGAGTAAAGTCTAGCCCATCTGGTCTGATCACACAGAAGAGGTACTGTAGCTCAAATAGCTGAGAAACATAATGTTGGTCATCATAGAAAGGTGTCAGAATGCACAGTCCACTGCAGTTTGCTGCATATGGAGTTGTGTAGCTGCAGACTGATCAGAGTGTCCATGATGACCCCTGTCCACCACTGAAAGTATCTTCCATGGTGACATGAAAAACAAAACAAAAAATAATATAAAAAAGCACACACATAGATCAAATTGTAGATTTTAATGAAAACGAATAGACAATGTTTTGGCTTAAAAAGGAGTCTTTCTCAAGACACTTGACAATGAAAGAATGTTGCCTGATCTAATGAATTATGTTTTCCTTTTGAGCATGTGAATGGCATTATGCGTGTGCATTACCTTTGGAAGAGTTGGCAAGAAGAAGAACTACCACAACAAGAGGGCATAGTCTTAAATTAGAGGGGAAGAGGGTTAAAAATAATATCCAGAAGTATTACTTTACCGAGAGGGTAGTGGATGCATGGAATAGCCGGAATCCAGCTGAAGTGGTAGAGGTTAACACAGTAAAGGAGTTTAAGCATGCGTGGGATATGCATAGGGCTATCCTAACTATAAGATAAGGCTAGGGACTGATGAAAGTATTTACAAAATTGGGCAGACTAGATGGGCCGAATGGTTCTTATCTGCCGTCACATTCTATGTAACAGAATGCACTATGGGAAAAAGGCAAGTTCTGCTGGGAAACTTTGAGTTCTGGTATTCATGTGGATGCTACTTTGACACTACCACCCACTTTGAGATTGTTGCAGACCACATGCACCCCTTCATTGCAATGGTTTTCCCTGATGACAGTGGCCTCTTTCATCAGGATAATGCACCCTGACACACTGCAAACATTGTTCAGTGATGGTTTGAGGTCTTGTTCTGTAAATTCCCCAGATCTCAATCTGATTGACTATCTGTGGAATGAGCTGGAAAAACAAAGTTGGAGGCTCCACCTTGTAATTTACAGAATTGAAGTACTTGCTGCTAATATCTTGATGGAGATCTTGTGGAGTCTGTGCCTCAATGCATCAGAGCTGTTTTGGACCAACAAGAGGGACCAACACAATAACTTTTCTTTTAGTCCTTGGTATATGCCCACTTTCTCATATTACTTCTTCTTGACATAATGGTCACTGAGTCCTTGTATCCGCATACTATGTGCTGAATTGCATGGAAGCTTATTTTCAAATTCTGCCCTCATTGGTGTGGAAGACCCTAATTCTTTTGATATGATCACATGCGTTTATAAAGCTGTCATAGAGTGAAAAGTAAAGCCTATATACGGACTTCCACATTCTCATAAATCCAGGCCTGTATTTGAAGCGTTTGATCTGGATTTTTGCCATCTAGTGGCGCTAAGTCTGGATGAAATCCAGACCAAATTCAGGCTCGCAATGTCTGGATTTTTCAGTCAAAATGTCCCCATGGGGGGAGGGGGCGTGGCTAACCGCCTAGAGCAATGAATGCCTAATCCTTTAGCTCTGGCTCACAGGGTCACAATCTGATGCCATCCTCACAATCTGAGCACATACAAAGAAAACAAAGGCGACATGGCACAAGAAAAGGGGAAGAAGAACACCACAAAGGCAGAAAATCTACTTTTTTGGGAATAAATCACAAAATGAGCAGAAGGAGATTCAGGCCTTCTCAAGATGGAGGCACCAGCTCCTATGGCACAGAGTGCCCCACTCCGATGGAGATAGATCCAGATCCTGAAAAGCTCACAAAAAGTCACCTACAGCTGGCACTGGATGCACTGTCACAGAAATTGATTACAACTTGGCCGCATTCAATGGACTCATTAAGGAAAGATGTTCAAGAACTGTGCAAAAGGATATCACATGGTGAATCTAAAATGGAGGACTTTGCCTCGGCATATAACGATCTGGCCACACATGTGGAACAGATCGAACAAAAGCTCACCGCTACTGAATTGAAACTAACTAACCTGGAGGATAGGGCGCGCAGAAATAATTTGTGCCTCAGAGGGATACCAGAATCAATACTACCAGAAAACCTACAAACCTATGTTAGAGGTCTCCTTCATGCATATGTCCCAGAGATACCAGCGGATATGTTACTCATAGATAGAGTGCATCGGCTTCCAAGGCCAAGATTCTTGCCTGAAACAGCACTCCGAGATGTCTTGATGCATATTCATTAATATCATATAAAAGAGCACATATTGCGAGGGAGCCGCAACAAAGTGAAACCGCCGGCAGACGTCCCAGAGATTAAAATATTCGTGGATCTTTCGCCCTCCACCTTACTCAGGAGGAAAGAGCCAATGTAAATTACCTGCTAAGGGTTATTACTGTTAATGTATTTTCTACTCTTCCACCTAATGATTTAAAACAACCTGCATATTAACCCCTTAAGGACCAAACTTCTAGAATAAAAGGGAATCATGACATGTCACACATGCCATGTGTCCTTAAGGGGTTAAGCAACATATAGTTCAACTTTCCTATAGTAAGAGACCATGTAAATTACCTGCTAAGGGTTATTACTGTTAATCTATTTTCTACTCTTCCACCTAATGATTTAAAGCAACCTGCATATTAAGCAACTAATGGTTAAATTTTCCCATAGTAAGAGACCATGTAAATTACCTGCTAAGGGTTATTACTGTTAATTTGTTTTCTACTTTCCCACTAATGAGCTAAAGCAACCTGCATATTAAGCAACATAAGGTTCAATCTCTCTATGGTAAGAGACCATGTAAATTACCGCCTAGGATTATTACTGGTAACCTGCTTTCTACTTCCCCAGCTAATGGGTTAAAGCAACCTGCATATTAAGCAACATACAGTTTAATCTCTCTATGGTATGAGACCATGTAAATTAACTGCTAAGAATTATTACTGCTAATCTGCTTTCTACTCCCCCACCTAATGATGTAAACAACCTGTACTTTAAGCAACATGAGGTGCAAATTTCCCACAGTAAGAGACCAAGTAAATTACCTGCCAAGGGTTATTACGGCTAATTAATCTCCACTGTCCCATCTTATGACCCAAAGCAACCTGCATCTTACGCAACATAAATATGCTAAGTGCAACTGTAGGAACAGTCAAGTAACTAATACACCATACCTCCCCAGGAAAAGGGATAGCCACCAAAGAGCTGATGTACTGACTCAATTAAAAAAAAAAAAAAAATATTGCATTATATAGTTGATAAATATGAGTTAATAGGTGTCGTCTGTGTGACACGCCAGGGCAATTAGACCATTGGAGGGAGATTATTGGGATATTTGGACAGTCAGGCATACTATAGCACTAGCGCAGTGTCTAAGAAGCCTATGGCACTCACAAATGTACAATGCCTAGAGTGCTGCATAGGTGACACAAAGCATAAGTTTTAGATCTAAAGTTTCCTACACCACAAGTTATAAATATGTAATGTATAATATGTTATGTTAGAGATTGTCTTGAACACCTAGGATATACAAGGTATAAATACATAAGGTATAATAAGTTTTAGACTTTTTTTCTTGTTTATACCACAAGTTAGACATAGGTAATGTAGAAGGTGATATGGTAAAAAAATGTCTTCAATATCTAAGATATTGAGTCCAATTATCTGCTAGACCCGCTTCAGTCTGGTTTCCGCACTAAGCACTCTGTGGAAACTGCACTGACCAAAGTATCCAATGATCTACTCGCTGCAAAATCTCGTGGTCACTACTCTATCCTAATTCTCCTTAATCTATCTGCAGCTTTTGACACTGTTGATCATCAACAGTTTCTTCACATCCTCCGCAATATCGGTATACAAGATATTGCTCTCTCCTGGTGCTCCTCCCACCTCTCCCAGCTCTCTTTCAGTGTTTCTTTCTCTGGCTCTGCTTCTTCTCCCCAACTCCTCTCTGTTGGTATCCCCCAAGCTTCAGTGCTTGGTCCCCTTCCAATATCATTTCTATGCAGATGACACGCAAATCTACCTGTCCTCTCCTGATCTCTCCCTGTCCCTCTTGACTAGTGTCTCTGACTGCCTCTCTGCTATTTCTAACGGGATGGCTGCCTACTTCCTTAAACTAAACTTGACCAAAACTGAAATTCTGGTCTTTCCTCCCTCAAGTGTTTTTACGCCTGTGTCTGTATCCCTCCAAGTCAACGGTGCTACCATCAGCTCCCCCACACAGGCTCGCTGCCTAGGTGTTCTCTTTGACTCCGACCTCTCCTTCAAGCCTCATGTCCAATCTATCGCCAAATCCTGTCATTTCCATCTCAAAAACATTGCGCACATCTGCCCCTACTTAACGCCAGATGCGACTAAGGTGTTGGTCCATTCCACTGACCATTCTCGCCTTGACTACTGTAATCCACTTCTCAGTGGTCTTAAACGCTCCCAACTTGCGCAGTTACAGTCCATAATGAATGCGGCGGCAAAGCTCATCTTAATGTCCGCCCGCACCTCCCATGCCTCACCCTTCTGTCAGTCCCTACATTGGCTTCCTAAAAAATATAGAGCTCAATTTAAAATTCTGGTTCTTGCTTTCAAATCGCTACATAATGCTGCTCCCACCTATCTATCCTCCCTTATACACAAGTATGTCCCCCGTCTAGGTCCTTACGATCTGCTGAAGACTTACGTCTATCTTCTTTCCGTACTCCCACCTCTGATGCTCGCCTTCAAGATTTCTCGAGGGCTGCACCGTTCCTGTGGAACTCGCTTCCCTCCTCCATTAGATGCTCACCCAGCCTCCACTCCTTCAAAAAATCGTTAAAAACCCACTTCTTCATAAAAGCCTATCAATTAAACTGTTAATAGCTCCCAACTGATTCCTCTTCTGCAACTGTCACTAGTCTAATACTATCCTTACCTTTTTGTGTCATTTTACCCCACTCCCTCTTGCATGTAAGCTCATTGAGCAGACCCCTCAACCCCTCTGTTCCTGGGTGTGCAACTTGTCTGGTTACAACTACATGTCTGTTTATCCACCCATTGTAAAGCGCTGCGGAATGTGATGGCGCTATATAAATAACATAATAATAATAATAATACAAATATACAAGTTACAAAAATGTAATGTTTAATATTTTAAGTTAGAGAACATCTGCAACACCTATGATATGTACTCAGTGTATGCCAATGTTCAACCCACAACCCTGACAAAGGATGAAACATCGATTATATAGAGTATCATTTAGACCCGAAGCCACCTTAAGGAAACACAGAAGTTTCCACCCCCATGGTACCCATAGGAGTCCCATGCCTCACGACCAGAAGTTCATGTTTACCCCAGTTTCATTTCCCCTCTCCCCTTCCCAGAAAACCCCACCAAAGTGTCACCGACCCGACCCAGGTTCACTGTACAACTCAAAGCGAGAGAAACAACGACAAGGTCATCCAATCAAACCAACCTACTCCACACCTCAAAAAAAGGCACCATAAACTGTGAAACGAATACACAGATGTAACCACAACTGATGCTCCCCCAAAACTAACAACATATGAAAATACAATCACATAACGTTAGGGGATTAAATACCCCACACAAACGCAGGACTCTACTAGCAGGTGCTAAACAGGACAGCGTAGACATTCTTTGTCTCCAAGAAACACACTTTGCACACTGCAGGGTCCCAGGGTTTGGCAAACAGGAATATACAACCCAATATCACGCCACTTACTCCTCTAAAACAAGACGTGTCTCTTTCCTGTTCCATAACTCACTAACCTTTGAACTTTTACAGATAAAAAAAAGACGCCCAGGGACGCTACCTCATACTGCACTGCAATATCAACAACACATTATATACCTTAGTGGGGATATACCATCCAAACACCAACCAACGAAACTTTTTACACAAGGTACTGAACAAAATTCCCCACCATAACAAGACTTCTTTAATAATATGTGGAGACCTAAATCATGTAATACACCCACGTATGGACACGACAGCACCAACATCAACTCCCAGATCCAAAGCACTAAACCCACATTGTAAGGCCCTCACTAAACTTATTTCAGATTATGGCCTATGCAACATGAGAAGGTATTCATTCTACTCAGCGATTCACAAAATGCATTCTAGAATAGATCACGTTCTGGTGTCACGTTATATGATCTCACAGGTGACCAAATGTCAGCTGGGGAACTTCATGTGGTCAGATCATGCCCCAGTAACACTCACAACCCATGACACTTACAACCACAAAGGGAAACCCCCCTGGCAATTGAACAACACATTACTGACTGATGCAGACTTGAACACTAAATTAGAAACAGACATAAATTACTATTTCCAGACAAATCAAAATCCGGAGCTCCTGCCCACCACACTATGGCAAGCCCACAAGGCAGTAACTAGAGGACTACTCATAAGCAGAACAGCGTATATAAAAGAAAGCACACAAAATAAATATCTACAATTATTGACAGAGCTTTGAGATCTCAATAACAAACAATTAATAAAACTCAAAGACGAAAGACTAATAGAAATAGCACATACCACTAAACAAATCAATGACCTGCTGCTCCACAAAACTGCCCAGAACCTCCACAAACTCAAATTATGGCATTACACACAGGGTAACATAGCTAGCAAAGCACTAGCGTCAATGCTGAGGCAGAAAAAAGCAAAATCAAAAATCCCATACATACTCAATAACACAGGAGGGAAAATATACGACCCTCAAGAAATTAACACAATGATTGCTAACTACTACAAAAGTCTTTATAACCTGCGGGACGATACACAGACACACCAACCCAATCACACTGAAATACAGAACTTCCTTGTCAACATATGACTACCGACTCTCACGCAATTGCATAAAGAAAGTCTACAAAAACTAATCACACTACAAGAACTGATGCAGACAATACGCTCACTACCATCAGGGAAATGACCGGGCCCAGATGGTTTCACCAACGAATATTATAAAACATTGCACAACACTCTAACCCCGGAACCTAGTCACAGCACTAAATAACATAGTACAATCGGGAAACATGCCACCAGAGATGTTACTCGCGCACATAGCCACATTACCAAAACCGGGGAAGACTCCCGATCAGCCAAAAAATCTATGCCCCATCTCCCTACTAAATACTGACACAAAAATCCTCACAAAAATATACGCTACTAGAGTAGCGACCATCATACCTTCCCTGATACACCCAGACCAAGTGGGATTTGTGAAGAGGAGACA